GAAATAGATTTTTTGCTAATCTCTTTCGTAAATGCTGAGGACTTTCTGTCAAGTAAATTTCTGTCTTTCTGTATTTAATTTCTGTTAAGAACAGTCCATTTTGTTACATCAAAGTGTTTAAAAATTAAATCTGTTTCTTCTTTTTTCTCCATTCTAGCAGAAGTAACACTGAAGGGTAACAGAAAAGATAATTTGTCTAACTTGTCTCTAAGTTTTCAACACTTTATCTTTGTAGTTGGTTCAACATAGCCGCAGTGCTGATCTGACTTTACTGGACAGAAACAGAAAGGAAAATAAATGTTTCTTTGTAGTACTTTGACCTTAAAATACCCCAAACACCATCCATCTTCTTGTGTTATTTGTGTTATTTTTCAATTGAATCACTCAGCACAGTGGGTCAAAAAGTCAGAGGCCACCATTTCTTCTCCCTGCTAGCAGGATAGAAAGCTTTGATAGGAACAAGTGTTTGCTGTTTTTTTTGTTGTTTTGTTCTGCTTTTTTTTTTAAATGTAATTTTAAGCATTGGTAACCATCAAGACTTCAATTTCTATTTCTGTTTAAAATTATATATTATTTGTTATGGAAAATACCACTTTCCAGCCATCAAATTGCTTCTGTAATCAAATTGCTTCTGTTTTCTAGACAGAAAAAAAGCAGTTGGGTTTGCAGTCCATTTTTACTAAAACCCTGATTTGTAGGTCCTTTTCTTTTCCCACTGATATGAGTAGGCCAAACTCCCTTCCCTAATGGGAGGGGCATGTCTGTGTCCATTTCTTTCATAAAAGGCGGACAAAGATCTCAGGCTTTGGTTCAAGAACAGTATCTTCTGGGGTCACTCTAGGTTCAGCCTAGTTGAAAAATTTAGCAATAAATGTCATGTCATTATTTCCAAGTATTGAAGAGTGATTGTATTGGAGTGACCACTCTGGAGCTGTCAGTGCTGGCAGTGGGTAGCACAGGTTTGCACTGCACTGCAGGAAAAGTTGTTGGGTTTGCAGTCTTGTCCCCGTGCTCATCGGCTGGGAAAGGGAGGCAATGCCATGTGGAGTAGTGCTTAGTTAGACTGAGGGCAGGTCCTGCACTTTTGTACTGCTGGGAAAGTCAGGAGATGCTTTTTTTGGGGGTGGGGTTTTTGTTTGTTGGTTTGGTTTGTTTTTTGTTTTGTTTTGTTTCATTTTGTTTAGCTTTTGAAAGTGTTTGAAAAAAATTCACATAAAAGAGCAAGAGCCACTCTGGAGTAGTCAATAGCCATTTGTTGGCTTTTGCTGGGGAAAAGTGTTTTTCAGGTTGCACAATTTGATCAGGTTGGATAAAGACTGACTGTGAGTCTCCTCAGCTCTCTCTTGGTCTCCTTTGCTGTCTCCCGCCCTCTTCACTGCTCCTCAGCTTAGGAAATGTTGCCAATAAAAGTTTAATAGAAACGGCACGCTCCCAGGGAGCTTTAGTTCAGATGAAAATGATTTTGCTGATAAATTCCTTGGAACTCCAGAAATGTGAAGTGATTTTACCTGAAGGATAATTTATTATAGACATGTTGCCCATTAGCTGGCAACATAATCTCCAGCAATGATGATGAACAGAGATGATCACGGATTGTACTTTTAAAATGCCTTTCTGAGTAGAAAAGCAATTTGGGATCCACTTACATCTCAGTAATGAAAATTAGGTCAGGTAATAAGAGATTTCATTTTGTGAATGAATTGACAATGCAAATATCAGGATTTTTAATTTAGGTTTAAGTGGAGTAATGGCTACTCATTCTGATGCATCATTAGTCATATTGCTTTTTAATGAGGGATTCACTTTCTTTTCCTGGTTAGCTCTAACACTGATAGCAAAGCCCAAGGAATGTGTAAATGTTTAGGGGGGTCTGTTGAAGATGTGTCACCGCACTATTTTAATTTTAAAAAGGAAGAAAAAACAGTTTTCATTCTATGATGAAGAAATACATATTTTCTTCCAATGCAAGGAAGATAAATAGTGCAGAACTGTGATTGGTAGCTTGTTGTAAAAAAAAAAAAAAAAAGGCAAACCACCCAAACAATTTGAAATAACTTCTAGAAAATATAGAAGGAAAATTGCGTTGAATGGACTGCTCATGAAAGGGACTATCTTCATGACAGACGGTGGGAGGAAAAAGTATTACTTTGGCCATCTCCAACATGGATGTCATATAAATAGTGGCAGATGAAGAATTCTTCTTGCCCTAGCAAACCCACTCTATGCCCCAAACACCTTGCTCCCCTTCTGGATAGATCTCTGTTCAGCATTTTTATTTCTTAGATGTCTTTTTTTTTTTGTCTTGTCTTATTTTTTTATCTTTTTTGTTTCTATTCTTTAATTAAGAGCTTGTTTTGATGTTCATTGAACTCAGTGGGAATCTTTCCATCAAATTGAATGCATTAGGTCATATTCATAATCAGCAGTCACTGAAACAACCTAACAATAGTTTTGTCACACACTAGTGCACTGTCTTAAATGGGATTTGCTTTAAAAAAGCAATAGAACTAATCCATTATAAACACTTGTTAGAGCAGAGTTTTGACTGTATCTGTGTATTTACCAACACAATTTCAACCAATTGAAGACAAATTGAAATTAATGCAGATTTTTGCTCCAGGCAGGAGCATAGGGCAGTTAATTAAATCAATTTAAACTAGCATATTTTTAGGCACAATAACGTGATGTTGCATGTTGACTACATTTGGGTTTTGTTGCCTTCCTTCCTTTGGTGGACAAAGCGTTTTGACTTTCTATGAGGACAAGCTGTAGCATGATGAAACATGTGGTGCATTGAATGTAGACCAACCCATTCAGAGCTGGGGACAAGAGAGCAAGTTTCTGGGATGCAAACGAATGTTTACCAAACCTCTCTTTCTTGGGCCTGTTTCTATACTCCTGCTGCCCCATAAGTATTGTGCATCTTGCAGGTCTCTGTGCTTTGCATAAGTCTGAGCAATCCAGAGCCTCTAACCACTGTCAAGGCAATGCCTGCCCTTCTGGAGCGGAGCCTTCGAGGAGATCTGCAACCTTTGGGGTCTCCATCACAAAGCTATAGCCTCACATTTTTACTCTGCTGTTTTATTCTGCTTTTGCCTTGGCCGTGCAAATGCCCCTTCATCATGGATATCAGAGAAAGGTGCATGAGCTCCTGAGCTGACAACCTAAATGAATGGGTAGCAGAGTGTCAGGACCTCTCCAGGAGGTTGCTGTGTCCCCATGCCACACAGAAGTGAAGAAGAGGTTGCACACAGCAGGGCAGTGGAAGGAAAACCAGGCAAGGTAAATTTCTTTCAGGATAACCAGCAAGAGACATCACATGCCTGGGACACTGCCAGTAAATTAAGAATCATCTCATCATCTTCCTTTGTGACCTGCTAACCTTCCTTTGAAATACCTCCCAGGAATAGTGGTGGCAACTCAGTTTTGCAGCAGTCACTTTTCGGCCTCAGAAGGAGTTATCTTCTTCAGATCTCTCTCTGACTCTATTGTGAAATGTGAAAGAAATATAGGCCAGATCTTCTCTGATGCCACTTCGTAAATTCAAGGGAATCCCAGACATCTGATATGGTGAAGTCATTCTGTATCGCTTGATTCCATGTGAGACACAACATTTCCCAGCAGATTGCATGATACTGGACTAGCATCCATTTCTCATGATGGCTTTCTTGAAAATTTCCCTTCTCCTTACAGCTTATAAAAAGAAAGTTGATAGGGTGAGGGCTCCAGAAGGTTTGTGTAAGCACTGAGTCACTGTAGAAGTTTTAACGTATTAAAACACCATTTTGAAATAAAACCAAAGATGAATGTGTGCTAAACAGGCCATGTAGCTACAAGAAAATGTTTCTGACACTGATAGAAAATGACGTATCCACTCTGACTGCACCAATTCTTCTCTTGGAGCAGGAAATGTAAATGAACTTTCAGTATTTCCAGAGATCTGTGCATGGCCACAGTCCCTAAAGTCTCAGTTATGCTCGGGCCTTTGGGTTACTGAGGGATTTTTTATACAATTGAGCTGATTTATGAGATTTCCTGTTAAATTTTATTGCACCAGTGATTTTTCTTTGGTTCTTTTGAAGTAGAAAACATCATTTCTACAGCAAAAGCAAGTTGAAACTCTTAATGGAGCATAAGAATCTGAAAGGTCATGATTTTGTAGCTTTAAAGTAGAGGACAGTGCAGTAGTTGATACTCTTAAAAATATGAGAAGTTAACGAGGATGTTTGTTGGTAATAAAGAAAGAATATTCTCCTAGACCTTTGATTTTGGCTACTTGAGTATTGACTTTTTGTGAGTGTACTTTTATAAATGAAAAACTCTTCTCATTCTAGGACTGTCACATTTCAAAATCACTGAGCTAGCTAACAACACAATGCAGAAACTTTGTCCCAGGGAGATTATTCAGTCATCCTAACACCCAGTGCTGCTTCTCCCTTTGAGTGCAGACTATTGATTGCATTTACCTGGTTTTTAGGGTCATATAGATGACCTTTATGTATTTGACTTTGCTAAAGACCTGTGGCTGCAGGCAAATTTGTAACCAAATAAGAAACCCTTTCTATCAAGGTAGGTTTTACAAGTTTAGGTGAATCATAGTAGCACTGTTTACAAACTCTCAATCTAAAAAATGTCCCCTGATGTATTTTTTTCTGATTTTGATTTAATCTGAAGTCTTAAAAATATTTTTTATATGCATCCTAACAAATGTTTTTAATGAATGTGTAGGAACTTAGGTAAACCAAAAATGCCTTCCTGCTGTATCACCTAATGGAATAGGTCTTGAACAGTTCACTTCCAGCTGCTTGCAGGTGTTTTCTCCAGGTCTGGACATGAAAAAAGCATTTTGTTACAGTGTTTACTATCACTGTTGTTGCAGGCAGAAGTAATGAGAACAGGTCAGAAGTGGTCGTGGGAAAAGCCAGGACAGGGCCAGGAGCAGCACAGCTTTCCTTTATCTCGTTGATACAGTGTCCTGTTTTCTGTCCTTGTCTTTGCAGCAGTCCAGCACGGGGGACCTGAGGACTCTGAGGAAAGGATTGTCCCCGTACCACTCTGAGTCACAGCTCTCATCACTGCCACAGTATCAAGATGCCCTGCAAAATGTAAGAGAAGTTTCCTTACCTATGTAGACAGAGCCATGGGTTTCCCTGAAAGTGGAAGGGGCATGTGAAGATTATGGAGGAGCTCTTCCAGGTGTCAGTTCACCCTGAAACTGGTGGTGCGAATGTGCAGCTAATACCTGCAGCTGTTGGGAGGGTGGGGAGCCCCTGGAACCTTGGTCTTTACCTGAATTTGGATCATTAACTTCCCAGCGTAGGTATTCAGTCAACTGACATCAGTCACTGCTGTGCATCTTTAAAGCTAGGGTGAGTCTTGTTATACCTGCAGCTGCTTCTTTGTAAATGCCCCGGGCCTGCAGTAAAAAAGCTGGTTGTGGATGAGGCTTGCCAGGTGTCTGGCAGTGTGTGATCAGGGTTGCTTTAGCAAATAAGTTCTTAGGCTCTTCTGTATCACAGATGAGGTTTATGTTTCCTAAGATTTACCTGCATTGCTTCTTCTCAAGCAACAGAATAATCTCTATTAAAGCCTGTTGCAGAAGATGGATACTGTGCTGCTGTGCCAGGACTCCTCCTGCACCATGTACCAGGCATGGCTGAGGATCCCAAGCCCTGCCAGATGATTGCCTTCCAGATGTTCCCTTCACTGCTTGGGCCTCTGCATTTGCTTGGTGACATTGTTTTCCAGATTGCAGGCAGAGCGTAGGTGCAGTCCGAGAGTCCTGGTGGGAGTGGGCTGTGAGTGTTGTGATTGTGAACAGAAACCTGATGACAGCACAGCTGGAAAACCTCCCTGTCCTGTTTCTGGGGCACTGGTCAGCAGAGCTGTGGGTACTGTAGGCTGGTTGTATGTTGGCTGCTTGATTGGGTAAAAGTCATTCTTTAGATTTAGTGTATACATTAGAGTAGTAAAGAAGGGAGCAATAATAATTTAATAATAATTTAAGAAAGTTTGTGTAAATAAAACTCCAGTATGAAAGCAGATCCCCTTTCTGTCCCTGCTGAACTGCAAACTTCAAGCCAAATGATTCAAATGCTTCAAACAAAAAAAAAAGAGAATAAAACCATCCAAATGAATATTCACTTTTCTAACTTTGTGCCCCATGTATAAAGACAGGAGACTTTGCAGGGAGTGCAGAAAGACATGAACCTGAAGATGTTTGTCTGGCTGTGCCAGCCTTACAGTTTTGGGGAGTTTTCTTTGCTTCTCTTATGCTCAGGATTTTGATCTCCAGCTTCCAGGCAGGCAACGCTGAGTCAGCCTGTGCTGGTTGCCCCAAGAAGTGGTGCTCCACTCATGTTTATCTTGTCAGTCAGGCTGGGGTACAGCCAGCAGCTCTCTGCAGAGAAGCTGTGCCGGGGCTGAGAGCTGGCAGGAGAGTTTTCTGCCTGAGCATCAGCCCCCGCAGCTCACCAGGGCTCTGTGAGGGCTGGCAGCAGATGGTGCTGCCTGCTGGAGCCCTTCCTGGCCACTTGTCCCTATTTTCTTTCCTTCCTCAAGGAAGAGGTGGCACCTGGCATTTATGGAGAGGCCTGGGTGCTGTGTGACACTCACCTTCATCTGTCACCCTGGCTGTGTTCTGCCTTCTTTGCGGGAAGATGGTAGAGAAAAAACAAAACCAGATTTGCATCCAAATCCACATCCTCTGGGATACTTACATAGCAATTTATTTACTTATTCCTATCAAAATCCCTTTGGTTTTTGGCTTGACATGATATATTGTTTTTGTGACGAAGGGCAACGATCACAAATTCATGCAGATGTCTGAATGTCTTGGGCACCTCCCAGAAGTGGACATTGAGACATACTGGAGTTTCTCTGCAGCTTTTTTTTATTGACAGCAGGCCTAAGTTTGGGAGAAATCGTTTCTCTCTGTGCCTGCACAAGCTTCATGCGGGTGACTGATGGACAATTGATGTCAGCTTCAAAGCTGTCACATCCATTCAGAGTTTCATCATTGTCACTGCCTGTGCAACTCCTTGAGGAAGTTCCTCAGCGCATCCCTCACTGTCACAGTTTACAAGCTGGCATCACTCCAGCTCTCCATGGCCCTGACGTACCTCAGTTAATGACACACTTTGGCGTTTCTAATGGATCCTGGAAGGGTGAATTGTAGATTTGCTCTGTAGTCTGCTGTGGTTACCAAATATCCAGGGAAAGCAGTCCTGGGGGTTAGTTCTAACCTACAAGACCCTGGCCTGTGAAAGGGAAGGTGTGATATGTATGTTAGCATGAACTGATAGCAGACTGGTTGATCTCCCCAGCGCTGGGAACTGCAACCCAGAGTGATCTCGTGGTGTATCAGAGGCTCCCTGTGTCCACTGGGAGGTGAGGGTGATTTCCTTTGGCTCAGACACGAGAGGAGGTGGCAACAAGCTCCCTGTGGGACTTACATTTCCCTGGGTTGAGAGGGTAGAGCAAGCTGGCTAGGCTGACTCCACTGTAGAGACTTGTAATGTAAGTACTAAGGTTGGTGTGGAATGAGTGTGGGTGGAAAAGTGTGTGTAAAAACACTGGCAGGAATTCTGGAGCAAGGGGTGCTTTAGCCTGTGCTCATGGCCAAAGACATGACTGACAGCAAACAAATGGGTAAACACCATAGGATGAGTGGTTTATGTCAGGACCAGGAGGTCTGTGCTGTGATAAGGCCACAGCACAGATGGCTCATCCCTAGAAGACTTGTTCCCTGATAATGGGAGCAGTGTTACACCACGATTGTTCTTCCTGTGGTTCCAAGAGGAAGGATTAAATAATGTGCTCAAAATGATGAAAAGGAGGCAGCAGGCAGCAGCTTTCCTAGGGTTTATGTAGGGTGAGTAACCAAGATGCTGAGATAAAGGTCAGCCTGTAGTAACCACTGACTCCTAAGGCATGTGAAAAACGTGTCCCAGAACCCAGTTCTTTGCTGTCAATGAGGAGGGATGCCAGAGCTGTCATTAGGACTTGCTAGTGGGTGTCCCTTGTCCTCTGTTGTCACACGCAGTGACCCTGACAACCTTTTGGTGAATGTGTGAGTTTGTAGGTGTGCAGGTTAAAATAACCTGAGCAACAGGTTAAAATAATCATCACCTTCTCCTTCCTTAAGTTGTTGTAGAGTTTGTAGCGTTCCCTTGCTGAGGAGCAGGAGTTCCTAGTGGTTCTCTGTCTGGGTGCAGGAGGATGTGTCTGCAGGTGCAATAGGTGGTGGCTGGAGGAAGAGACCTGTGCTCATCTGGGGTCTGGAGCTGGGAATGCCTGGGGAAAGTATATGAAGATAACACTCTGTGAAAGCTGAGAAAAGCTCTCTCTTTTTGAGAAGACAATGATGATCGTGCCAATACCCAGTGTTTGTATGTTCCTGAGGACTACAGTAAGTATCTCTGGATAAACGTGAGATTTCCATTTGGATGTTCAAAGCTGCGTCTCTGAGGAGTCTAGATTAGAGGCCAGACTGGGGAGTCACAATTTCTTTTGCCTCCCTAGAGCTACTTCAAAAACAACAAGATCCATAGGAAAGTGCAGAGAAACAGAAGTGTGGTTATGTAGTGGAGAACACTCGACTGAGAGGGCTGCTGAGTCTCTGGCTTCCTGGAACTGTCTCTGTATTTTTCTCCAGCGTGCATTTCGTGCAGGATGCAAAGCCTGGGAGACACCTCTGACTGCCTGGCTATAGCACCAACTCCTTCCTTTAATTCCCACCATGCTGTCACAACGAGCCGTGTTTTGTAGCTCTGCCTTGTGGAGATACTCGGGGGAGGTGTGTTCCGTTGTGCCAGATGGCACACATGCTATTGCAAAAACAAACCCAAATGTTTGTGGTATGTAGGTGTAAAGAGAAGCCATTAGATGGGGTGGGAAGGGATGACGAGAGTCCTTGGCTGAAGCACTGGCTGGCTGCTGAGCCTATGAGAGTGGTGATGAGGAGAGGTGATAGGAGGGCACATAGTAGCTAAACCAATGACCATCCTATCTCTTCCTTTTGGCTGGAAAGATGATGGTCTCCATCCTCTTCAATACAAAGCCAAGGCAGAAGAAAAGTGAGAAGGTAACTCGGTATCTCCCCCTCAGTTCCTCGCAGAGGAAGGACCAAGCTGGCACAGGCAAGAAGACGTGGCTCTGGCCAAAGCGTGGTCTTGGGTTTCAATGGGGAACCCAGAGCAAGCCTTCTAGTCCCTCACTGGGAGTAAATCTGTCCCTCTCAGGAATATGAACTGGATCAGCTTCTTAAAGCCAACCTGACTTTTAAAATCAAGTTTGAAATGGCAAGAGACCACCACACTGTTGCCACTGCGGTGTCCAGGAGATGCACCCAGAAGAGCCAGGGGAACCCTCTAGGCATTGATGCCCCTGCAGAGTCACCTGGTGCACTAAGGACCTTAGCAGGGCCCCAGGCACAGCACAGCACAGCACAGCAACCCTTCCACTGCCAGCAAGGACCCCCCAGCCCCTGTCAGTGCTGCATGAAGTCCCTGGGCTGGTTGGTGCCTCTGCCATCTCCAGGACCGCCTTTGTGTCTTTAGCATCTCATTGTGGCTCTCAAAATGTCTTCAGCTCCTTCTGTTGCTCCACCAAGCCCATCCTGTGCAGTGCTCTGATGGTCCCCCTGCCTTCTCCTATCCCTGTGCGCCATCTCTGTGGCTGTCAGGTGAGCTGAGTGTTGCCAGTGTGCATTGGAGGATGACCCCAAGCTAGTTTCTCACCTTCCCACAATGGTGATGGCCATGGTCCCTTTTTAGGCAGGGGAAACAATGACTGAGGAACAATGATGACAGAAGGCCGAAGCTCCTTCCCACCAGCTTCATTGATACCACCAGGATGCTATTGAGCAGACAAAGAGAGAAATTCAAGGCAGCTAATTTGCTGCTGCAGCAACAGTGGCTGTGGAAGGGAAAGTAAAATGAAAGGTTTGTCACCATTTGTGACTGGGTAGTGCTATTGGGAAGCTTCAGAGTGTATTACCAGCAGCTGAGAACAAGCTGATCCATTTTTGAAGGCAGCTGCCCTTCATCAGCTGTTATTCCAGAGGCTCTGAGCGGCGGGTTGCTTTTTTCCCCATGACAGCCAA